AATAAATTTTTTTGATCAATAAATATTTAGTTAATCTGCTACAAGTAATTGCATACCTGCAACGAACGTAATTCAGCTAGTTTAAAGCAATGGAAATACAACTCTCCACATGCTCCACTCTAAAAAAACAAAATATAAAAACATCCAAAGATTCAGGACATTGTTGTAGATAGTACAAAGAAAACGTAGACTAATTTTTTATCCTAACTAAATATCATATTCTGAAAAAAGTCAATTGTGGTTGTTGGGGGTTCACACCATCTTAAGCGGCCATCCCACTTGCCTTACGGCACTTGCCATGTGCCTAAAGATGTCAGAAGATAGAATAGAGATTATGGAATGTTTGATAAATGTTATTTTATTTTTGATAAGTAATTAATATTTTGACATTTAGGTGCCGTTTGGTACCTGAAAATCTATTAGAAAAACCTATTATAAAAGAAATATGAGAGTTACTATGTTTGGATAAACTTTAACAATAATAAAATCGAAATAAATTACACACGATTTATCCAATATGTGAAATCTATTATGTGCGGAATGACTATGAAATCGATTACATGGTTAACAGGTAATCTAACTACGTGCTTCTCTTGCCCAAAAAAATCCTCTATCTCCTGCCATTCTCCCTCTCTCCTGTGCACATCCATTCTCCTGATATTCTCCTTCTTTCCTATGTACATCCATTTCTACTTTTCTCTCTCAACTCATTCTAGTTCCTCTCTCTCAACTCCACTTATAAGTGTTTCCCCATACTGCACCTATCCATTTCACACAATATAATCCTCATAAGAGATATAAGAACAAAAATAATAATAAAAATAATTGGTAATCAATGAGAAATTACACAACACAATCCTAATAAAAAAATTTACACAACATAATCCTCATAAGAGATTAGTAAAAGCTCAATTGAAATAAGATACTTCTTTAGTCTCCTCTAATGCCTCAAAATTTTCTACTGCAATTACCAAATATTTTAGTTTACTAATCCAACTTCTTCCCATTTTTTAACTTATACCATAAAGATTTTGAATTTGGTATCATAAATTTCTTGCTTATTTGAAATTATATGAGAGACATTTGAAAGACTTCTATAAAAAATATATAAAAATAACACTTATTACAATAAAAGTATGTTATTCCAATCATATTATTCCAGTGACTTATCATATTGAAACCAAAGTTCAATCATGTTAGAGGACATGTGACTCCATGTAAGTGCGAAAGGAATACAAAATAAGTAGGAAATGGTGTGACGATGACTTTAGAATGGTACAAGTTATTATTAGAAAATCGTTTTGGAATGGTGATGATATTATTATTAAAAGATCTTTTTGGAATGGTTTGAGGATGACTTAATTCCACATTTCAGTGGAATTTTGTGACAAAAAAGAAATAAATGATAGTTTATAGGCAAGTGTTGGTAAAATGTTAGTAATGCATTTCTCATATTTCTTCCAGACATAGCAAAACAGTAGCAATGTATTTCTCAGGTTGCATCTAAATACTACCCAAACAGTAACAATGCATTTACAGATAATGTATTACGCAGTAATGTATTACGCCGGTAATATATTTCACATGCAATATATTTTCAGGTATCCAAATGACCCCTAAGCCATACTAGCAAGAGACACATGCCTTGGATGTTAAATTAATTCACGTTAACAAAAAAATCAAAGTAATTATTAAATATTAAATTGGGAATTTATAAAAAGGATTAACTTGATTGAGGTTTATATAGATAAATTATAGTTATATGCATGGTTCGTATGTAAAAGCATTTCAATTTCTCCCAGTGTTTAAAGAAAAGGGATCAGTGACTCAAATCGGTAACACCCATACCCGTGTTAGATCAAGGGAATCGGTGGATCGGATTGGAACAATCGACGGAATCAGTAATGTTTGTCCCAAAAAAATTTTAAAAATAATTCACGAAAAAAATGTTCATCATTTTCTAGCTTGACTAGGTGAAGAATCTGTCGGAATCGGTGCGGAATCAGCAATTCTACGAAAAAAATCGGCGAGTCTACTATTCTTAATCGACCGAATCCCAGTTTTTTTACCGGATTTTGGATGGTCATGGCGATTCCTGATCCAGATCGGGTCACCGATTTTTAAGTCACTGGTTTCTCCAATTTCTCTCCTTAATGTTCTCCGTTACACATATAAATATCCCTCATACATATGTGTATGGTACAAGCTTATGCACCACTTGAAAGATTGGAAATGGCGTATGTAGTGGCCAGCATCTTGAAAACATTAAGCACACCTCTCCTACAGGAAGCAATTTTCCTGTATGGAATAGGGGAACAAGTCGACAGACTTAAGGCCGAGCTAAGGCGGATGAACGCCTTCCTTAAAGATGTGGACATGATAGGAGACAGTGATGAGAGAACAAAAAATTTGGTAGAAGAAATACGAGATCTTGCGTCTGAGTCTGAGAACATCATCGAAATGTTTGTTCTTCAAGCTACGCAGCAAAATAGAAGGGAACTTATGGGTTCTCTGAGAAATTATGCCTGTTTGATTTGGCATTTGAGAGGACGCCATGAGGTGGGTACGAGGATAGAAGCTATCAACAATAAGCTTGGCGATATTGCAAGGGCCAGGTCCATCTATGATGCGCCGCAGAGCAACAACTTGGGGGAAGCCACAATTTCTAGCGCCCAAAGTTTCAGAGAGATGAGAAAATCATCACCTCTAAAAGTCGAACAGGATTTAGTGGGGATTGAGAAGAAAGTGAATTCTTTAAAGGAATCATTATTGGATGGAGAAGAACAACTCTCTGTGGTTTTTGTTGTTGGTAAGGGGGAGTTGGTAAGACAACTTTTTTCAAGAAAGTCGATAATGGAGAAGATATAAGGCTACACTTCAATTATTTTAATTGGGTAAGTGTATCTCAGACTTACAGCATAATTGAGATACTTCGTGGCATGATCAGTAAGGTTGTAGTGTCACCTGAGGGCTTACAAAATATGAATGGACAAAGGTTGAAGGAGGTTTTGCATACTCATTTGAGAACAAAGAAGTATTTAATAGTCTTGGATGGTATATGGGATTTCCAAGCATAGGAATCTCTAAGAGAGGCTCTACCTGATGTGAGCAATGGCAATAGGGTTTTAATAACAACTCGAAACAAGGACCTGGCCAAGATGGTGGATAGAAGTGTTGGTTTTATGTAGCCTTTAAAGGCTTTATGAGAGCTTGTATGAGTATTTTATATAATGGAACAAAAACTCAGTGAGAGTGTGGTCTTTTTGTGGACCATACTAGGCAAATGTTATTTGCTGATACTCGGACAAGGCTCGACGAGCCAGGCCAGTCGAGGTTATGAAAAACCCAAGATACCTGGGTATAGGGATCTATCGAGAAGGGTTTAGTGGGTTATCCCTTGATGATGTCGGAGTATGCTCAGATGAAAGCCAATAGATTGTGTGGCCCTTGCGTGTAATGAATAGCCTTTAGAGACAGGGCTAAAACATCATCGTTATATCATCACACAGTATGTACCGCCGTTTTGAGATTCACCAATGAGGGTGAAGCATGTACATGTGCGAGATTCACCAATGTGGGTGAAGCATGTACATGTGATAGAGATTACCCTATGTACTATAGAGTCATGGTTGCATCATGGTTTGGAGGACCACGATTTTATCTCTAGGGAAGAACCTGAAATCCATAAACTGGGATTGCGTCCCCTAGTCTATTGGCTGACTTTGGTAGTCCAATCATGAACCCCTGCAGTGGACTGTGGGTCATTGGAACTGCTGGGTTAGTTTGAGAAAGCTAGGCGGATTGTGATTCACAGTTGAAAGTGGAGTGCTCCCATGTATTGATAATTTTCTAGATCTAACATATTCGATTCCCATCAAAATTAATTAATTTTAATTAATTTTATGTTATGTGATTTTTTGAATGTTTATTTGAATTTTTGTGAATCTTCTGATATTTTATTTTTATCATTTAAATTTATAAGATAAATTAATTTTTCAATGTTTTAAATAAAATATAAGATTTTAAATATGAAATAAAATATTTTTTAAAATATTTGGGACCTCCACAAAATATGGGGCCCAAACTTTAAAAGGATGTAGATTAGATAGGGCCCACACATGGCCACCAAAGGGTAGCACGCCTCCACCCACCCACGTAACATTCTTGCAAAGAATGTTTATCCTCTTGGTTAGCGTATCTCTTTAGTTATAGCCAACTTATGTGATAAAATTGAATATTTGAGATATTTACTAATTCTTTGAAGTATAACCAACTTATGTGATAAAATTGAATATTTGAGATATTTACTAATTCTTTGAATCAATATTGATTGATAAAATAATTAAGGATTTGATATATTAAAATATAAGCTTTCCTTATTTGATGGGAATAGATTTAGGAAAAGGAGGATAAGACTCTAACTCATCTCTTTGAATCTTGATGATAGATCAAAGAGAGATTTATGACTCAAATCTCTCACCCCACAAGTCTCCTTAGATTGACAGTTGAGATTGGACCCTACGAATTGAAGCAAAATCTATGGTATAAAAAACCTATAAAAAGAGATGTTCCGTCTGAGATACATATTCTCTTCTCTCTATTTAACAATTCTATCTCCCTACCCAAAATTCCCTTCTCTTCCCCAAGGGAGGCATGCCCCAATTTTATCTCTCTTTAAATTGTATTATAATTTGGTGGACGCACCACCTCTATACTTTGTGAGTGGTAAAGGGGTAGAACGTCTTGCTAGTAGATCTCTCCTTTTCTTTTCATATTCTTCTCTCATCTCTCTAAAATCAAGCTAAGAGACTTAATGAAGATTAAGTCATTGAGTGGATTTTTGCCATAGTAGGGAAATCAACCTACCAATTATAGATCCCGAGCACCATCGGAAGGAGGAGACTCAGCGTGGGATGTACTAAGTCCGGTTGGGTAATCTCCAGCAATTTTACATTTTTTAAAATATTTAGTTTTCTCCCCATAAAGCAATAAATTCTATTTTTTTTTCTTGAATAAAGAATTATATTTGAAGAGGTAGCAATTGAGAACCGATTTTATTTTTATTTTATTTATTTCAAGAGTGTTTTGATTATAATTAGACATTGTAAGTGATTTTGCTGGTGTAAGGGTAAAGAATTTTTTAAATATATATACGTGCTTTATCATAACGTCTTTTCAAGAAGAACGATCTATTATCTTGAACCATTGCGAGAAAATGAGAGTTCGGAGTTGTTCAGCAAAAAGGCTTATGTGAAAAGCAATGGAAAATGTCCCCAATATTTGGCAAATATTAGCAATGGCATTGTGAATAGATGTGGAGGGTTACCCCTGGCACTTGTCGTAGTTGGTGGTCTGCTATCCATGAAATTCATGACTGAGGATATAAGGGCATCATCGGAATGGCAGAAAGTGCTTAACGGCTTCAGCTATTATCAAGATAGAGGTAAAATCAATACCTCTGAGATACTATCATTAAGTTATTTCGATTTACCCTACTACCTTAAACCATGTTTTTTAGTTTTATCTACTTACCCCGAAGATTACAAGATCAGAAGGACTACATTAATACAATTATGAGTGGCTGAAGGGTTTATTGAAAAGCGAGGAGATGAGATATTAGAAGATGTGGCAGAGGACTATCTTAAAGAATTGGTAAGTCAGAGTATGTTACAGGCGGAAATTATGAGCTCGAGTGGACGCATCAAATCTTGTGGAATGCATGATCTTTTACGTGACACGTGTTTAAGAAAAGCTGAGGAGCAGAACTTCTTAGGCGTGGTTGCAGGTAAAGATAACGTACCCTCTTAGAGGTCTCGACGTCTTGCCTTCCATAAAGGTATTGATTCAATGAATCTCCTTCCAAAGTTCGTTCATTCATCTCTTTTCACATTCAAGACACCCACCCGATTCTAAACATTGTTTATACAATTCTACGCTAGTTCGGGTATTGTTGATGGAGAATATTAGTGTTGAATGCTCTTTAAAAGAATTGGGAAGTTTGGCTCTTCTTAGCTTTCTTGAGTTTTCGAGGAAGCCAAATTCATAGTGAGATTCCAAAATCCATAAGAAATCTTCAACACTTGGAAGCCCTCGACTTGAGGGCTGACGATTTGACTTGTGATAGCATTTGTATATGCTTAAATTCAAGTTGGAGCCTAGAGTTGCCAAGTTTGAGACACCTTTATGCAAATGATCAACTTGAATACATGCAACCAACGCATCTAAAGGCAGGGAGTTCGAGATGCCTCCAAATGTTGTGGAGTGTAAGCCCTGACTTTATATGAGAGCAATTGGGCAATTTCTCTCAACTCAGGAAAGTAGGTATTTTCGATATGGCAGACAAAGACATTAGATCAGTCTACAGGTCCATTGGGCTAACTAAAATGCATGCGTTCTCTATCTCTACGGGCAGTGCACGGAACAATGCAAAAATTGGACCCACCATTGGCTCTTGAGAAATTGGAATCGGTTGGAAAGTTAGGGAAGATACCAAGCTGGTTTGGGAGCCTTCCAAACCTCACCAAGTTGGTTTTATGTTATAATGAATTCGATGAGGAGCGGTTCTTAAAGCTCCCAAGAGTTGCCGCACTTCAAAATTCTAAAATTATAGGGTAATGCATACGTGGGGAAGGAGATGCATTGCACTGCTGGAGGCTTTCTTTAACTCCAACACTTGGAATTTTCGTATTTATACAAGTTAGAGGAGTGGATGAGATGGGAAGAAGGATCCATGTCATGCCTTCAACCTCTGGAGATTAAGACTTGTCGCAAATTGAGGAAGCTTCCACAAGGTTTAGAGCACACTTCTACCCTCCAACGAGTGCATTGTTCTTATTTTGGAAAAGAATTTAGTGGGAGAGTGTTAGATGATGCACCTCCTCATCTTTGGCGCGAAACCAGAAGGGATTATCATAATCAAGAGTGGAAACGTGCAGCCCTTTGATTCCTAATTTCTTCGAATGCTGCCTGCCAAGTATTCTACGCATGTAAGTGATGTTCTTCTATGATTTTGAGTGCGGTGTCAGGTTTTTTTATCGTAATTTGGCATCATAACAAAGTTCGACTCATCCAATTTCCTAACTAGGCCTTCAATCATTTAAATTGGTAATTTATGTCCTCGTCTTGTTTTTGCCATGGGAAAGTCTCCATCGGAATCATTGGACGGTGGAAGGGTGTACAAGCAAAAACCAAATTTTGAAATCCTAGAGGGATGCACCAGATTGCAGCCTTTTAAATTGCATATTGAGGTTTTCCTTTGCGATCTTGCACCTTTGCAAAGTTTTTGGTGTCCCGATGATCTAACGATTCCTTAATAAAAAAAATCAAAAAATTAGTAAGCACGTAAATTTTTTAAAAGGTACATGGCAACAATGAAATTTGTCAAGTCAAAATTTATTGTAAAGAGGCCATATAAACACATATAGTTAACTAATTATGCTTTAATTATTTTTCACAATTGTGATCACTTTGTACCAAAGGTAAATGAAATTTGTCAAGTAAAAATTTACCGTAAAGATGTTAAATAAACAGGTCTAGTTAACTAACTATGCTTTGGTCATTTTTTACATCGTGGCCACTTTGAACCAACGATAAATGGTCTCAATATATACTTTTCATTTTCCAATTTAGGATGGAAATATTAAAAAAATTTCAATATGAATATTTTTTTTTAAATTAGCGGTTTTCAAATGCGTAAGTGGGAATGGAAACCTAGACCGGTAGCTGAGGCTCAAATGGTGCTACCACCACGATCTCAGCCCCATTTCTGGTCACTGAGTTTAGTTGTGTAGAGCAAGTTTCCATAGAAAATTCCCAAAAATTGCAAAAACTAACAAAAAATTGAAAATAGAAAACAAAACAAATCACACAAATCATAAAAATAATATATACAGGGAGACGATAAAAATTTGATTTTGTTAAGTTGGAAAAAACTATAATTTATTAGAATTTAAATTGAGATTTAAAATATTCAAAGCTAATCATGCATAATCTTCTTGCTCGTGTTGATCCATGCCTCCAACATTGGTCGAGGTGATCTTAAATACCCCACAATGAAACCATAAGAAAGATTTGGCGTTCAAGTTTGGATGTAGTTGACCAAGCTCTTGAAATTTTTGGTCAAACAACTTCTCTCGTTCAAAGTATTGCAAATTCAAAACTTTGAGAGGTTTTTGTGAGAAATAATCATTATCATCATATGAGCCTTATCCAAACTATGTGGGGTCTGCTATTTGAATTACATTTTGTTATTTCATTTTAACAAGGTTCATACCCGTTGTTAGACCATAAGTCATCATATATCTTCTGACTACATCCATCCATATTCTTTTGGGCCTTCCCCATGCTCATTTAGAGTTTTCCACTTGATCCAAATCACTCCTAGTCAGTGTTATTCTAGATCAACACTATACATGGCCAGACTACGTAAGTGTAATATCTCGCATCTTAACGTCTAGTAGAGCTACCCCTTTGTTCCCTTGGATGTATTCATTTTCAATTTTATCATTTCTTGTCTTATTACTCATCTATCTCAACACCCTCATCTCAGCTCCACTCATTCTATAGATGTGTTGTTTATTGACCACCTAATATTTTGCCCAATAAACTTTTGGTTCAATAAACGAACTGAAAAATAGACTTAAGTAAATAATTTAAACCACAACTGGGCCAGAGATGGAAAGAAATCCCAAGTTTTGGAAATAATATTTTTAGAAAATAGATCAGTGGTGTCGACCACCCACCTACCAATCCCAATCTAGATTGTCTTGAACAACGATCTAGTAATATAAAAAAAAAAAAAAACTCGGAGGAGTACATTATTGAAGCTCTCAAAAAAGGTTTTAAACCTTGAACCTAATGTTTCACAAGCCCATGCAAATAGGCAATAAGGCCATTTGGATTATATGATAAAGTTTTTACATATTATATCATTTGACCTCCGATTTCGGCCAAGAATCGGTACAATGTCTACCGATTCCCAATCCGGATCAGCATTTCCCAATCTGAATATGCGATTGTTTAATCACTGTTTCGAACTTTTGCAAAACCCTCTTTTAAAATTTTCAATCTCTCAGAATTGAAATTTTGATTTTCTTTTTAAAACCACGTTTATTCAATGGATTAAGGTTGCAAATGATGTAAAAACAAACCTAGTCACAATTTCATGTTAATCCAAAGGATGCTTGAAGAGGAGCGAAAAAGGAGCTTGATGGCCTGACAAACTACAATGAGACCCTCGAGAAGCTATTTGGAGGTAGGGTTAAGAATTTAGCCAGTTCGCATCTAAAACCTGAATTTTGGATCTTATATGGATTCTGTTACGAATCCAAGATTTGGATCTGATAGGTTGGATCCTATCCGTGTGGCAATTACGCTCAGATCTAGGCACAAGTGGATCTGATCAGGATCTGACCGAGTTATTAAAATATTATAAATTAATTTGTATATATACATAGATGTTATATAGTATTTTTTATATAGAATTATTTTTTAGATCCGATCGAATATAGATCCCATGTATGCTTCTCAAATGTGAATCCAAATCCTAGTGGATTCGGACCCGATCTTACCTATTCTTAGCTCTTTGTGTAGGTATATAATGTGGGGCATACTTCGGCAAGCTATTTGATCAACTCATACGCGTACTATGGAAATTGGGCTACATCTACGGCCTTGGCAAGTAAAAACTCAATATCACAATGCAGATTACAATTTTGGGTTACAAGAGATATACCTATCTCCAAACATTAGTAAAAAACCCTCAACGATCTTCTCTTCTAAAGCACACTTTTGACCAAACAATAGAGTCGATCATTCATATCGCTCAACCGCTAATGAAAAGAGAACCTTGAGAGCAACTGAGAAACTTTATTTATCTAAAAGTGGAAACCTTACCAAATCAAAACCTCCATGGGAAAACCACTACTCTCTCTTGGAGGCCCATCTCCTTCTTGGAGATCCCTTAACGATTTTTATAAAGATCACTAGTCTTTTTCTTGTTCCCCAAGAAAGCTATTTTTTTTGTTGTAATACCCTTAATCTTTTAAAAAAAACTAATAGTAGTGATTTTAACTGTCACCAAACCTAACCATTTAACTAGAATCACGTAGGAAATCTCTTTATTTTGGACAAAAAAGGGAGGAGTTGGTTCTACAGAAAACATTTTCATGTTTATTTTTTAAAAGAAAAGGAATGCATGTATAACTTGCCAATGTGTATATTTTTTACTGCAGATCGTATCATAGAAAATGACGATTGTTATGAGTTCTATTTTTAAAAAATTTTATACTTTATGATGACTCTATCATAAGAGTTACTTTTGAAAATTTTGATGATATATTCACTTGTTTTTATGTATTTTTATTTTACTGTGTAGAGATTCTCTTTATTTTGGTTGGAGATCCGAAGACAAAGATGCAGGTTCTTTGATGCTATTGTTCCCTCGCTTCTTTTAATATATGAATTCATTCGGAAAAGGGCCTCAAAATCAATGATGTGTTAAATGAACTAACTGCGAACTTTCCAAAGAATCTATGCCGCTTGAATATTTTCATCTTGGCCATGTTTATGTTCTTGTTCATGACCTAAACATTCTTTTTTTGATGTTTTAGGACTAAATTTGAAAAATATTTTCTATTAGAAAACTAGCATGCATTTGGAACTAAAAACCGGCATTGATTTTTATATCGTTTCATCGGGTTATTCAAATGAAGCAAAA